AAGCTAAAACTAGCAGAGCATTGCCTAAAATATAAAAATGGCAAAAGCCTAGTTAAAGGTTTAATGTAGCAGCATGTAGCTAAAAGTAGCAGAACATTAGCGAAATCGAAAAACAGCAAAAGGCTAATTAAAGGTTCAAACGTAGCAGCATGTAGCTAAAAGCTAAAAGCAACAAAACCTGTAGAAGCAAATATCAAAGAGAACAATGTATTTAATGGAACTGAAAAGATCTCAACGAATTTCTATACATAATTTGTCTAAAAGTAACTACAGTATTTTGAAAATCATAAAACGTAAAAAATAGAAATCACAGCATCCATCTCCTGGATGAGGTGAACATTTTGATGAATGGCGGGATAAAATAGCACCAAATGTGCAGAAGTAAGTTGCAGAAAAATAAATAATAAATTACAAAAAACATGTAAAACACTCATCTGAAAGCTGAATCAGTCTCCACACAATCAATAATGCACAAAGTCTCGTGAACAAAAGAGACCATTCATACATATCTGTGGTCCACAAACTCAAATTTAATGTTATTTACCATGGGAGGAGAAAACCCCTTCCACAGAGGTTTGTCCCCTCAGCATCCGATGTGTGACATCTTATTAAATGTCTTTGAATGCATCAGTTTCCTAATTTAATCAATCTGAAATAAGTGAGATGTTTGCATGAGGATTTCCACGCAGGAGTTCCCATGTGCAAACTTCTAAAAAACAAGTTTCTGTCCGGGTGGAAACAGAGGGAGTGTTCGCTTTGACATTTTCTGCATGCTTTTCAGCTGCTGCACAACACAGCACGGAGGCAACGATACCTGATCATCAATGAAAGTGCACGAGAAATTACATTCATCATCCCTGCTACAGAAATAAACATGACTTTAATACATGCGTGCTTGCATCTGATCAATCAAGCGATGCGGTCATTTCACCGAGAAGAGAAGAGGAGGAAAAAAAATCATACTCACGATTTTAATGGATTATGAATGACAGTCGCCATCTTTCTGCAAGAATGTAACGCAATAATCTAAATCTGTGTGCAGTTTGGGACCCTTTGAAAAAAAAAAGGAAAAACAACCAATGCTGCCCTGTTCTCTGTGATTCCTACCAATACAACACCAGCATTAAGACATTAGGGCGTGGCTTCAGTGAAATATGTCAACAGACCCTCCGCTGGAAACATCCCACCGAACAAAGTTGATGCCGCTTCAAAATTACCTTAATTGGGGTATTTAATTATTATTATTATTATTTTTACAAACAGCGTGTTTTATTGTTTCTTCACTGCCGCAATAATTCGTCTTTATATGTATAATCTAATAACTCTAAGGCAATGAATTAATGACCTGTATCTATAGATTCCATGTTTTGTTTTTATGTACTGTGCAGATCATTTCTTACAGGATACACATGCAGCGTTCAATGTCCCTCGGAAATACGAATACATAAAATCATGGAGGAACAAGTGCGCCGTGCTTTGTTGTATTGCCCGTCTATTAATAAAGTTCTCATTAGTTTTTATATACGTGACATGTCCTAGTAAATAAATACGTAATAATAAGGCAGATTAAGGTTTGTCCAATAAATTCAAATAAGATTAAAAAGCAAAAATAAATGTCCAATAATTCTTAGATTTTATATTTAGTTTAATATTGAAATAGGACGTCAAACTTGACAAAAAATACTATTATTAAAATTGGACTTCTTACGGCTTTTACAAAAAAAAAAAAAAAATTCTAGCTGGAAGACAAAAGTACACTGACCAATTGACTGCAAATGCAGCATTTCGTTAAACGTAAAAACAACCAATGAAAGCCTGAAACGTCATAAGTTTGTTGTTAGAAATGAGCCAATGAAACGTGTGAAAGGCGGGAGACTTGAATGCTGCATTCGCTGTCATCTAGAAACTCTTTTACGGATTGGAAAACAAACGCATAAACATGTTTAAAAATTAAATCAAAGTTGATTGATTTTATTTCTGCTCACTTGTCTAAAATAGTTTTCAAACTAAAAAATATTGTTAAGATACTTTTGCTAAATAAAAGCGTAACAATAAAATATTTATTTAGGTACAAATTATGCGTTTTATTTAATTTATGTGCCTCTTGAGGGCACTGACTATTGTTGATCGATATTTGTATAAGCAGTAACGCAAACTCGGAGAAAATGTTTCTTTTTTTTTCCTAATCCAAAAAAAAACGACAATTTGAGGGAAAAAATGTTGCCATTTAAGCGGCGTTTTCTAACTTCCGAGGCACATCAAACGCCACAATATTGATAAACACTTAGCTCGAGGGATTTGACGATCGTATTCGTATATACTAGCTTAATAAAAGTTTTAAAGTTCGTTCGTCCTCAACCGTGTTCATCAAACTTCAGAACAATCAGTAAAGGGTACATTGGAAAAGTCCATGATCCAGGTTTCACGCGTTGAGAAGCCTGAAGCTAGCACGTTGCTAACTTAGCTAACACGTTGCACCTCGTCGCCTCCCTCCACAAAAGTAAAGGACAGATAAAGTAATGTGACAAAACTGACTGTGTGAGGCAAGAAGAGAGATGAAGAGAGGGAACTGGAAACAAGGTCGTCGTCGCCGTGGATGGCGCAGGAGCAACCGTCAGACATTTCAAGGCGACGAACAGTGGTAATCATTTATATGTGAGGCACATGGACATTAAATGTGTCGTGATTACATTGAACGTCTCATACAATGTTTATGATCGCATGTCCCAAACCCTTTTATTTTCTTGATCTGTTCACAGGTATGAACATAATGAAGCTGGGCCATCAAACAGAGCTTCTCAGAGCTATGATAACCAATCTGCCTCATTTTCCTCATCCAGCTATACAGCACCAGGTATCAGTGTTGCCAGATGGCACAAAAACCAGCCCAATCAAGATATTGTTATATTTACTGTTTGAACACACATACACACAATACCCCCCACCTCTTGCAAAGATATATTGGTGTTTACATGTTCATCGATGTGATTGATCAAAATCAGTCAAATGTGAATGTTAGTGCTCTTTATTCAGAAAATCAACATGTCACATTTCAGGATCTGGTTATTGTAGACACAGATTAAATGTTCAATATGAATATTTCTATATTTATCACCACAGGCATAGTGTTACACACATTTGTAAACACTCAAAATAATACATATGTTGGTTTAGTGCTTACCTTTAACCTAAATATTTAAGGAGTAAACATTTTTAATAATCACTTTAAAAGTTATAAATGTTATCTTTGGTGCCTGTTTGTTTTCCAAATGTATTAGTGTGTGTGAATGACAGGCATTAACATAAAACACTTTCTAGAACGGTGCTTTATGAAGTTCAGTCTATTTCCTTCTATCAGTTGACCGGCAGTTCTGCCACATCCATTATGGCGGCCGCTCCGACGTACGGCTGCAACGAGTCGGCCCACTCAACGAGGTGTCCACTGAAACTGCCTCATCAGTTCTCTGTTGTGAACGCCCTGGCCCATGGAGAACGTTCAGGGAAGCTTTGCTATGAAATAATGATGAATGATTGTTGGAAATGTGTTTAATAAGTTAACTCAAAAACCTCCGATCTGACTCCAAATCTGCCCAAATTATCCCCACCCACCCAAAGCAATTTTTACCTGCAAAATCAGAATGAAAACCGCCTTATCTGGCAACACTGCCTGGTATGTGGACTCACTGTATGGCAAGCAGTTGCAATATATAAACGAACCATGCACTTCTCTCTTGATTACTTTTAAGAGATCTTGACAATATTGTTCCTTCTAGTTAACTGCTCCTAATTACTGGTCAGAGTTAAATGTATGTAAATACATCTTAACCAATCTCCCTACGAGTAATTTATTTATTTTTAAGATTTCCACAACAAAAAAGTTGTAAAAAGTTGTAAAAAGTAAAAAAGTTTTTGTGTTAATTTTAATCTGTATTGTTTAGACCAGTGTTTTCCAAAGTTGGGATTGGGACTCCACAGTAGGTCATGCCACACCCAGTAAGGGATCTTGAGATGATTTCCAGAAATCAAATACTGTTTACCGGTAGTACTGATATTACCGGTAATGCCATATGTTTTGATAATTGCTACAAAAAATATATAAAGTAGAAGTCTTAAATATGGTGAAAATACTGTTAATAGTTGATGAGGCTGTTTGTAGTACAAATACATTCTTTTTAAATTTACTTATTAGCGACACTTTGACCAGGGACAGTTGACGAGGCGGGTCTCTGCCACCATTGTTGTGGGTCAGAAAACTTTGGGATCCACTGGTTTACACTGAATAAGTATTGCAGAGCTTCATAAATTAGTTCTTCCATGTCAAAAAGAACATATTTCAGAGTTTTAGAAGGGCTTTTCTTCCTGTGTCTAATTAACATTTTAGATAACTAATATTTTGAATAGCAGAAATATTCATTTTATCTAGAATGAACTGATTTGTGGTTACCTGCTTTGGATAGCCAAATAAGCAATAAATCCACTTGCCATATGCTTGGGTCATATACTGACAATAAAACTACAAATCATCATCAAAGTACTCCTGCATTTTCTCACCACAGATGAGACGTGAGTGTGGATTAAGTTAAAACAAAATGTTTTAAATGCTTTACATTCTGACAGAGTTGCCAGGTTTCTACTTTGACCCGGAGAAGAACTGCTACTTCCGTCTGCTGCCCGGACACAACAACTGTAACCCTCTGACCAGGGAGCAGCTGCTAAAGAAGGAACGGGAGAAACGGAGGCATGAGATGCTCACAGAAGATGAAAAGCCAAGAAAAGTGCGTCTGTTTTAAGCACTCCGTGTTGAACTTGTAAATTATTTTTGTAATCCTGGATGGATTTCAGGTGAGTGGATTTGACGTTTTCCTTTTTTGTTTTTTTGTTTTTCCTAGAAAGCACCAAGAGCAGGGCTGAACACGTCACTGCTGCTGCAGAAGAGGCATCTTGGGCTCTTACGGGAGAACTCCTACTGCAGGTTTGTGTGTCCATCCTGGACATGTTGTGTGTCCCACATCCAGTGCAGTTCCCTCGGCTGTAACGTCACTCTAAAAGTGGAATGTGTTTAGAGCTTTGTCCATAATAACTAATGATGATGCAAATTATCTTTGAAAGAGCCACACAGACCGATGACTGCTTGTTTTTTCTGGTTTCCAGGTTCATCCATGAGGTGAAGGCCAGCTGCATGAGGCGCCACAAGCTGGAGATTCAGATCACGGACGACAGCAACCCCAACGCCCACAACTTCAGACGCTTAGTGGTGAGGACCCACAGCGGCACCCCAGCGTTAAAAAAAAAAAAGAAACGCACCTCCATGTGCAGAACTTGATCCCAACCTTTCATCCTAACCTTCTCAGGGGGATTCGGCAAGTGAGCGAGTGTTCACGGTCAACGACGTCACTCACGGCGGCTGCCAGTACGGCATCATGAACTTCAGCAGCAGCAGCCGGGGCTCTCTGCTCGCTGAAATGTGCGATAACCTCTACTTCACCAATCGCAAGGTGGAACCGTTTCACCCGTGTTCACACTTTTATGTTGAATGTGAATTCAGCTCTTGTGCTTCTTTTTTTTCTGTCCGGCGCGCTGCCTTGGAGCCATGTTAGTTTAGGTAAACGTGATCAGTTGTGTCCTAATACTGCTTCAATGTGTTCCAGGTGAACTCTGTCTGCTGGGCCTCGGTCAACTACCCTGACTCGCACATTTTGTATCCTTCTGCAGCGTCACTCATTTGAAAACTCTTTGTTTATAAATGTTTATGAAGCATTCACACGGTTGTGATCCGTTTTTCTTTCGTATGTTTTTTTAACGATCCCACAGTTTTCAAGCGATTTCAACAAATCATAACAAAATGTTCAGCTCTTTCAGGACAGTCCTGCTATGACTTTTGGTGTTGATGCAACTTTAGCTTTTTGAAATATTTAGACTTTTCTGCCATTTTTTTTCTCTTAGAAAATGAATTGAGCTCGTTTTACATCCTTCAAATCTTTAGATCTGTTTACAACCTTTTACTGCTCCTTTCACATTCTGTTCTGGTTCAGCGTCCTTGTGCAAATTTTAACTTTTTTTCAGCTAATTTCAGCTTCTTGTGCTCCTTTGAGATGATTTCTGCACGTTTCAGCTATTTGTGCTATTTCATCTACTATTTACCTGTTTTATGCTCATTTGATATTTTCCTGCTAATTCCACATTTATTGCACTCTTTTCAACTTTTTTCAGCCTAATTCAGTAAAAATGGGATCCTTCCACTTTCTTGTTGGAATGTAAGCTTCTTTCTGCCTTTTTAGCTGCTTTTCAGCTGTTTTTGCAAATTTCAGCTTTTTTTTTTAAATTCCACTTTTTTGTGTTCATTTTTGCTTCTCTCTGCCAAATTGGTTAAACATGTTCTGCGTTCTTCTACTAATTTAAGCTTTTTTTTATAGCTTTTCAGCTACAGTATCTTTTTAGCTAATGTAAGCTTGTTATGCTTCTTTCAGCTTTTTCTGCTAGTTTCAACTTTTTTGATATTTCAGCTACTATTTAGCAGTTTTTCTGCTAATTTTATATTTTTTCAGCTAACTCCACTTTTTTTTTTTTTGCTAATTTCAGCTCTTTCTACTCCCTTCTGGTAGTTTAAGTTTCTTTCTGCATTTTCAGCTACTTTTCAGTAATTTTTTTGTTGCTAATTTTAGCTTTTTTAGCTAGTTTGTGCTCATTTCTGCTTATTTAAACCTAATTCAGCAAATATGTGTTCTGTTTTCTTCTGATAATTTAGGCTTGTTCTTCCATTTCAGCTTCATTTCAGAATGTTTTTTTTTTTAGCTAATTTCAGCTGTTTTTCAGCAAGTTCTTCTGCAATAAGCGTTCCCACTTCATTTTCACAGGAAATGTAATTTCTCTAGTTTACATTATTGTACACTGTGGGTCCAGACTGAGCAATATGACTTAAATTCATACCGTCTTCCTTCTGGTAAACATTTTTAAATCATCTCTGTGTTCGGTGATCACGGCTTGTGTTTTTCCTTCACTGAGCGGATCGTTAGGCTGTGTCTGGTGGGAGCTGCCGACACTCCCGGCTGCGTTAGTTTACTTCCTGCTACGCTCTTCAGCAACTTCAATCAAGGTTTTTCATGTTTAGTCTGATACTTTAGATTTTCTGACTGGGATTTTAAAACTCCCGCATTAGAAGCGCATGTATATTTGTACGGACAGGTCATTGTTTCTGACTGTTCCTCCGTTTGATTTCCTCAGATCAGCCTGGGATGCTGTGCAGCTTTAAAATCTCCACAGCCTGGTCCTGTGCTTGGTGCCTCAATCCACAGTTTGACAAGACTTTCAGCACCGGTGAGTTTTATCTTGTAGAAAAACTTCTAAACCCGCTGGAGTTTCTTCTGTTTTACAGAGAAGCAGGTTACCGTATTTTTTGGCCTATAAGTCACTTTTTTTTGCATACCCTGTGACTTAAACACCGAAGCAACTTATTATGTTTTGATTTTTTTCCCATATTTATAAAACAATTTTTTGGCTGAAATATGACCATTTTCATTCATTCTGACTGAAAATATTGAACACTACCATTTTCAACCGCTAGATGGCACTCGAGTTCTATGGCATGCCATTGTGTCATGTAATAGGTAAACATGGCTATTAATGACGCAATTGGCTTGCCATACATAGCCTGCCACCGTCATCCAGCTCGATGGAGCAACCGTCAAATCAGCTTCATTTTGCTGCACCGCCCCGGCAAAATGCAGCTGATTTGACCACTGAAGTGCATTTATTAAGTAAAAGTTCAACTGAGACACACCTTTACTGTAATGTTGAGCAAACAAATAAATGTTTTAGGTGCTTATCTTGTTAAATTTTTGAAGAAATGCACAGCGAGCCGTCCCTCTGCGCGCTCCTCCTTCCACGAATCGGCTTTTGAAATGCAGCTGATTTGACCGTCAAAGTGCATTTATTAAGGACAAGTTAGACTGAGACACATCTTTGCTATAATTTTGATCAAACAAATATATATTTTTAAAGTGTTAATCTTGTTAAGTTCTTGTTAAAGGCCTCCCGTGCACGCTCCCGCAGCCGCCATTTGGCAGCCACTCGGTTTTTGGCACAACACCGGCCCACGTTTCCAGGTCGTCAGCGGTGACGCGTAATAGATGCAACTTGTGTTTTTTTAATCGCTTTATTAGACATATTTGGAGTGATGCGACTTATAGGGCGGTGCAACATGTACGGCAGAAAATACGGTGCTAATATAGTCCTATTTGTTTGCAGGCCTGACCCGTAGAGTCATTCTGAAAGATGCCGAGACGGGACGAACGCAGACGTACGGAGTCGGCACTGACGTTCTGGCTCAACATTTTGCCCTCAGAGTGAGACGCTCGTCTCTTCAGTCGAGTATTAGATGTTTGCATTCTCTGGAGTTACACCTTCACCCTTCCAGGTCCCCGTCCTGTTTAACGGATGCCGATCAGGGGAGATTTTCAGCATGGACCTGCGGCAGCGCGTACGCAGGGATCACGGCTGGAAGGCCAAACGCTTCCATCACGAGTCGGCCATCACCTCCGTTCGACTTCTGCAGGATGAGAACTACCTGGTGGCTGCGGACATGCTGGGCCAGGTTCACCTCAGATCATCTTTTTCTTTTTTTTTTTAACTGTGACATTTTGGTCAAAGCAGCAGTTTTTAATATAAACTTATAGGTGCGTAGGACTTGTGACGAGGCTATAAGTGAATTCTCTTGCAGATCAAGCTGTGGGATGTGCGAGTAACAAAGCCGGTGCAGGAGTACAAGGGGCATCACAACGAGCACGCCTACCTTCCCGTCCACGTCAACGAGCACGAAGGACTCCTGTTAGCCGGTAAAAGATAGAATCCCCCGCACTACAAGGATGCAAAACTTGACACGTTTACCTGAGCAGCTCGTTTGTTTTGCAGTGGGTCAGGATTGCTACACAAGGATCTGGAGCCTAACGGATGCTCATCTGCTCAGGACCATCCCGTCACCCCATCCAGCTGCAAACGACGCGATCCCCAGCGTGGTCTTCTCCTCGAATCTGGGCGGCTGCATGGGGCTCCCCGGGCTGCTCATGGCCGTCAAACATGACCTGTACTACTACCCTTACAACACCGACTACCAGGAAGGAGAGCTGAGGGAGGGATAACGGCTGCTCGTTTGATGTTATTTTATTCAAAGGTTTGTTGTAGAAGGTTTCATTTGAGGGTGCAGTCAGGTTGTCAAAAACAGGGCTTCTATATATATTTCTTTTTTTTTCTACAATTTTTTAAATTATCTATGTGGAAAACGTTAGGAGGTCAAAGAAACGTGGCGAGTCTGAAGTTGGGTTGTGGAAAGAACAGCTTACTGCAGATATATGTGAAAACATTTGAAGTCACTTTTTTTTTTTTATAAAGCACATTTCAAAACAGCAGCTGTTGCCAAAGTGCTTCACAATAAGATCAAGGCAATTAAAAAGAAAATAACGATGTAATTAAAAGCATCAAAAATCAAAACGCAATAAAACCATGAAATACTAAATCAAATCACACTGTGTTAAACGTCAGTGAATACAGGTGCGTTTTTAAGAGATTTAAAAACAGGAAGTGAAGTGGCCTGTCTAATGTTCCAGAGTTTAGGGCCCGCGACTGAAAAAGCCCGATCTCTGAGCTGCATTTTTTGGTACAACCAAAAACAGCTGGTCAGATGATCTCGGCACCCGAGAAGGAACACATGGTTGCAGTAGGTCCGAGACGTACGAGGGTGCAAGGCCATTAATGCAATTAAAGGTCAACAGGAGATTTTTAAAATCTATTCTGATACGAACAGGGAGCCAGTGAAGGGAGGACAAAACTGGTGAAATGTGCTCAAACCTACGAGTTCCTGTTAATAGTTGAGCTGCAGCGTTTTGAAACGTGACCAACCACAACATTAAGCACGTTACAGTAGTCCAGCCGGGTTGTAATGACGACATGGACTATTTTTCAAGGTCACATCTGGTCGACACTGACTTGAGTTTAGCTTTTTAACTCCTTATCTAAATTCACAGCAGGTGATTCACTCAGACTAAAATTAAATATTTATCCATGCTTGTTTTTTTTTGTTTTGTTGTTCAAGCTATGTAAAATAGAATAATCACTACCAAAGTTAATAAATGTTGTAAACTGATCTTTTTCATTTATGCCCTCGTTTTCTAAATCTCGCAGCGTTGATGCTTTGTTCTACTTTAGTTGCAATTAGGCTCCAAGTTTCATTTGGCTCCATTTAAATGCTCACACCGTTTTTTAATTTAGATTTGACTTTTTAGATTTTTGGGGCGCCTGTGGCCGAGTGGTTAGAGCAGTTGTTCAATGCAAGAGTTGGGGGTTTGATTCCACCAGCAGTCGCATGTTGAAGTGTCCCTGGGCAAGACACTGAACCCCTCATTGCCTCCGATGTGTGTCCCATCGGTGTATGAATGTGATAAAGCTCTGATTATTCTTTGTATAGATCTAGTAGAGTGCTGTATGAATGGGTAAATGAGGACACAGATTGTGTTGTAAAGTGCTTTGAGTGTCTTGATCAGATGGACAGGTGCTATATAAATACAGTCCATTTACCATTTACAGCTACATTTGTTGTGGCGAGGTGCAAAAAAAGTCAGAATTCTGGCTAATCTCAGAATACTGAAGGGGAAAATTAACACTTTGGCCCTAATCCTTTCCCATAGAGATTAAAAAAATAACTTCTGTTTCATTCATTTTTACAGAGTTTGAAGCATCCAACTGTATACCTTTACTTTCATTGATCAGCTTAAATATTTGTTGGTTTTACGGTCTACAGCTGTTCCATTCATTCAGGACAAAGGTGAAGGTGGTTTATCAGTTTTGTATTCGACTCCAAAGAATTTTAGGATGGCTCTTTTGTTCCTGCGCTTCGTTCCCCCCCCCCCCCCCCCCCCGATTAAGAAAACAAGAAAGGAAGCTTTGAAACGCTTTTATTGCTTGAAGAATTCATCCAAGTGACCATTCAGGGTGAAAACTCATTTAAAACTTCCACTTGAAAAAAAAAAATCAAACTTCAATGACGTTTTACATCTCAGGAATTTTTTTTTTTTTTTTTTTAAAGTTGTGCAAAAATGATGAGGATGTGCTGCATTCTTCTAGAAGTGTACTTACAAATAACAGCTAATTTATAATTCAATCCAGGATGTTTTATCCAGGTTTAAAATGCTTGTAAATACATGTATCTATTTAATCATCAAATCAATAATAAAAAAAAAAAAAAGTTAAAAACTTGGCCTCAAGTTGTTCCGCATTTCTTCTGAAATCACACACGTTCAGGCCAGTTTCTGCAGTTTAATACACACACACAAGGAACATGAACACAACACTGACTGGCTTCATGCGATTCTAAAGAGGTCGTCTCCCTGATGGTTCTCTGGCCTGTTTGTCAACTTCACGTCCAAACCAGCTCTCATACAGTGATATTTAACAAAAAGTGAAAACCCCGACCACAGAATGTGTCGTAATAATCTGAAAACACAGCCGTGAAACACGCAGCGCAGTCGACGCTCTTAGCTAACGAGACGCCGCTTTATTTAAAACGTGAATTCCTCCAGTTCCTGTTTTGAGGGGCCAGCCTCAAACACGGTGGCTGTTCTCTACCTTCATGCTCGTGTGAACCAGTCACTATAAAAACAGTCCTTGTTGAGTTTAACCCTGCTGCTGTCGTCAAAAGTTTCTACTTTTAAAATAAAAAGAGGTAATATACAAATGTCCCTTTTACAGTAAACTTTGTCCACATATATTTACCATGACTTCAAAATTAAGGCTCTTTATTGAACTTTTCTAAGTCCAAAACTACAAAAGGTATAAGGGATAATTATTTAATTGGTAATAACTCTTTTATATTTCATTTTATTTAACCGTTATTTATACAGGTAGTTTCATTGAGTCACGAGGACTCATTTTCAGGAGATTGGGAGCAGATGGTGGCGGTTAAGGGCCTTGCTCAAGGGCCCAGAGCGGAGCCACTTAAGGTAGGTGTGGGTGTTTCACCTTTTCCACCTACATTTTGATGTTGTCAGTCCGGGGAGTCAAACCGGCGACTTTCCGATCACAGGCCCACCTTCTCTAACCTCTGCACCATCGCTCCCTAATAAGGATTTATTATTGGAATGATGCAACCGTATTCTCTGGACACAATGAAAGCAAGAGAGTTAATGTTAGCAGAGATGAAGTTGTGGAAAACTACTGAAACGTCGTCTGAAAGATGAAAATTAAATGTCAACCGTTTTGACGTTCTATGTTTTCCAAATAAACCAGTCCACGCTGTAAGATCCAGCCCTCCCATAGACACCGTTATTATCACGAGATCCAAGCAAACAGGCGTGACGACACAAAAGGTGCCATGCTCAAAGGGACGGTGGGGAAGTGGCTAAAGAGCTACAGAGGCGTGTTTTGAAATTCAAGTTTCACTTGGACGGTGTGTATTCGGTGTGATCAAGGAACTGAAATGACACGAGGCCGGTGTTGCAAAGAAGTCAAACTTCAGTCCAACTTTCCAACATCTAAACTGTAGCTAGACAAACCTCCGGTCGTCTTTTATCTTGGCTTTAATGTTCCAGTTTTCTTGGCGTTTTGCATTTTAAAAACCATTCCCGCTCCGACTCCTGATTTCCCTCGTTGCTAGAGCTCCCCGGATTTCTGGCTGCAGCCGTTGCAGACCCGCACCGGGTGGTCCCAGCCGCGGGACGGCACGGGGCGGCGTTCCTGAGAGCAGTCGCCACACACGCCCTGGCCGCAGGCGCGGCAGTGGTGGATGGACAGGCGGGGCTTGAACTCCTTTTGGCACTCGCAGCAGGAGTGGATGTCCTGATCGGGGACCCAGTAAGCTGGACGAGCTGCGTCCTTTACCAGGCCTGAAAACACATGAAATAAGAGACTTATAAACTTTTTTATTTATTTACTGTCAGAGGATTGAGCTACCAGAGAGATCTTTTCTCTCTCAGAGAGAGCTGCACGAGGAGCTGATTTGATCCTGCATGTGCAGCTGGGTGGCCGAGGTCATCCGTGTCTGCCTGTGAGCCGGGAGCTGATAAGATTATAAAAACAATTCTCACACACTGTCCGTGGCAGATTCACGTGACTGGGCTCCATGTATGTAGAACTTCTGTACATCTGTGTAACCTGCGGTGAGTCTGCTCTTGCAAGTAAAACTGATTAAAAATCTTCTCACGTCCTCGATTGTGGCTTCTTTGAGAAAGTAAAATGAACGGAGGATATTTTTATCCAACATTTATTCTTGGGTTGTTTTTGTTGTGCGGTCACGTGTAATGCTCACCAAGCGGTATGTCAATGGCACCAACGACGGCACCCAAGGTGTTCTGAACGGCCTCCCCGACCTTCCTGGCTATCAGGGTGCCTCCTTCTTCTTCTAAGGCAGCATCCAGTAACTCTACAAGAGGAAAGCATCAAATCCAACTCAATCTCATGAAACATAACAGAAAACTATACACAAAGTCTAAAGAGAGAAGGGATGATGGACAGAAGTGAGTTGTGTATGGTCGTCTGACTAGTTATTGACATACAGTCAGTACAAATTAGCAAATCCAAGGAAAAGTTGAAGTTGTTTGTGTGTTGGAATCGACCATTCAGAAACTGCCTTTATCTTGCCTAGATCAGACTTCACCCATCCGCTCTCGAAGATGCATCTTCGGAACGATGATGTAATGCAGAACTCACATTTTTCAGCCTTTACGCACATCGGTGAACGGGTGTCCCACATCTTTATCTGTCCATGAGCCAAAATACTGTTCCAAATGCTTGGAAAACAGGTTTTGTTCTACCTTTACTGAAGGGAGGAGACCCCGCTACACTGAACAACTTGCGACCAATCTCTAAACTCTTTATTTTTGATAAGGTTTTAGAGAAATTGATAAATACACAAGTCAAGAAGTATTTGGACTCATTTAACATCTTACCTCTCCATCAATCTGGTTTCAGGAAACAGCACAGCACTGCTTCACTGAAGGTTTTTAATGACGTCGTTGCAGCATTGGACGCTAAGGATTATTGCGCTGCACTTTACTTAGACCCGTTTAAAGCTTTTCACACTGTGGATCATGACATGTCATTGAATCTCTCTATGCACAGCTAGTCTGGGCTTCATTTACAAACAAGGATTCATTTGTATACCTGTAGAAATTTCCCTGTTGCGGAAACACGAGTCGCACACTCTGACAGGCGCGAGGCCCCAGCCCCTCTCTGGGACCGGACGGGTTTTGGAGGAGCAGGCGTCACAGAAACCCTCTCCACAGGCCCGGCAGTGGTGCTTGGTGTCGTTGGGCTGAAAGTCTTCCTCGCATTTATGACACTTCTGTAAAAGACAAAAAAAAAAGAAAACAAACGGGTGTTACAGCCAGATACCACAAGCTGCTCTACATACACACTAAATAATTCATCTACTATAAGATTACTTGTAATCTTGTACGGTTTTGTACCAGGATGAGAGAGTTGGGTCTCCAGTAGGTGGGAGCGATCTGATCGGTGAGCCAGGAAGTGACGGTCTTGGCAGGTTTGACGCTGAGCTCAGACACAGACTGAGAAATGTATTTGACACCATCCAGCAACCTCTGAGCTGCGTTGTTGTTGTCCTTCAAAAACCCATCAGACTGAAAACAAATCGCGAGTACAATGATGTAAAAATACACATTAACAGCACAGTTCTGTTATGGATTCATGCAAGGCGGCCTAACGTTGCCAAATACGGACATAAATACTGAAATGAACTTTTTTCTTACTAGGAGACTTTGAACTCTTAGCCTTTATTTTTAGTTTACCGACTCGTTTTAACAAAATCTCATTCAAGTCTTTCCACTTAGGGTTTACCCCTGGCCAGATGTGCTGGATCTCAGTCCGAACCACGGTTTCCACCGGGTCCTGGTTTCCGTACCAATACTGTCTGCTCCGGTAGATGACGCCACAGTTGGGACACTCAATCACATATCTGGACAAAAACAACAGTCCTCTCAGTTTCAGCACCAAAACATCCGTGAAACTCACAGTTTTGTCCCATAACTACGTAGATTTGGCAACCACTTCAAGTTTAACAAACGGAACGGTCGATACAATGCTAGCTAATATTAATTTACGCCAACTTTCTTTAAAACAGGTCTGTGGACTCACCCCGACCAAGCGTAGATAGCCAAACCAAACCACGGTGAGTCAGAGGAGGCCGTCGTTTTGGGAACCACTATGACCTCCTTTCCTCCCTCGTAGCACGCCTGCGTGATTCAGCACAACCAGAATCTCATGTAAACCAGGCAGGCTTCAGCCCATGCATGTGCGCTGCTTCTACTTGCCTTGCATGTGTAGATGCGATTGTCATATTGAGCAGAGTAGCGGCAACGATGTTTGGCTTCATGGTCAGCTCCTTCTTTCAGATGATTCATGCTTCTTTTGCAGCCCGACCTGCAGGACGGAGATCAGAGCTTGTTAGAATGTTTGGATAGTATTTTCAACTGACTCAGAAGCTGTTTAATGGGCCATCATGAGTGATTCTACAATTACAGTAGTCCCTCACTTATCGTGGGGGTTACGTTCCAGAAACCCCCGCGATAGGTGAAAATCTGCGAAGACATTATATTTATTTTAGTATTTATATATATTTTAAGGCTTTATAAACCCTTCCCATACTCTTACAATGTTCTAAACTCTCTAAGCCAGTGGTTCTCAAACTGGACCCTGGACCCCCGGGGGTCTGCGAACCAGTGCTCGGGGGTCCGCCAATTTTATTTTTATAAGCACGTATATGTTTAACAACCCGTTAAAACACCAAAATGCAGGAAATCGCATATACTTTATTCAAAATTTTCTGGGGGAGGACCCCAGACCCCCTGCACCACCACCCCGCCAGCTATTTGTATTCCAGCATGGATCCGTTTATAAACTCTGCTACTTGGTCTGACTACTGCTGTTATGATTCTGTTCAGTTTTATGTAAAGAGTTTCTGTAATAATTTGAAGAAGTGTCAGTACATTTATTATGTTCATTATGTGAAGAGGTAAAGTTTTAAAGTGGTTTTTGATACTTTTAATTTTCTCCAAAATGTAATGTTTGGAAGTTGAAATTAAAAACTTTGTTAATTAAGTGTGTCTTGAATGAAAAACACCCCATGTTAAAAAATATAAAACTTGTACTAACACTATTAAAGAACAGGTCTTAAGTATTTATGTTACATAAATATTTCCATTGCATTTAAGAGACAGAATGAAGAAAATTATTTAATAAACATGAGGGCTATGAGGGACTCCCTGAAACTTTTTCTTCCGTGTAAGGGGTCCCTGAACACTAAATTTTGAGAACCCCTGCTCTAAACGCTCTATAAGAGCACAGCGAAAGGGAACAGACAGACTGATGCTACAGTTACTGAGCCAATGCCAGGGGGGAGATTGGCCATCAGGAGCACCAGGACATTTCCCGGTGGCCTGGCCCGCTCAGTGATTGCCGAGGAGCTGGACCAAAGGCTCAGTTCGGATCACGCTTGATTTATTTTAAATAAACAATCCATGCCGCTCACTCAAGTATCCGCCTCACTGAAGCTCTCTGAGCAGTAGTGATGGGGAAAGACCCCACCCCCTCCTTTCACTGTCTGAGGCTGTCACAGCAGAGCAAATACACATGACAGGTTGTGCGCCCGCCTGTTGTGTGTCTCTGCTGGGGGTGGGGTCTGTCTTCCCCCATCACCAATCGTGTGTTGTGTACACTCTTGCGTTGAAAACCCGCAAAAGTCGAACCGCTAAGTATCGAGGGACTACTGTATTTCTTAATAAATTAAGCAGGTGGAAGTCTGAAGTTGTTTCCACAAGAAGCCAATGTGAACTCTGTTGTACCAGTTGCCGATTTGTTGCAGTGAGCAACGAGACACGTACCCACAGCTGAGGCAGATACTGGAGCAGGTGAAGTACTCATCTGGAAAGAAGGAGTTACTGGTCATGTGCTCATCTGGAATCTCTCCGTTGAAACGTTCGCTTAAAGCCTGAAAGATTCAGTAACATTTAAATTAACTCATTGTAGCTTTACGCTTAGACAAAAAAAAACAAAAAAAACATGAAATTATTTATGCTGCATCACGTTTTTTAAAGCCCGGAAATATGACTATGCACACATTCCTGCAGATTAGCATCCCCACCTGCAGGGCCTTATAGATGACGCTAGCCGAGCGTGGCGATCGGGTGGTGTTGTTATCCAGCTGGTGCTCCAGGCTGCGCAGCAAACCGCTAAAGTCCGTGGGAGGGTTGTAGGTCCGAGTCCCACGGTACTGAATGGAGCTGAACGCTTCTGGAAACAAGCCCAGTTTCCTGAAACGCTCCTGGAGCAGACGCTCGGACGATTCCGAGGGTTTGTCTAAGTTTGGATAGCGTATTCAGACAGAGTGTAAGGCTCTCACGAAGACCATTCAATTCTACTCTAATGTTGCTAAATACATCTGAACAAGGTTTGGAGCAGAAACAGGGTTCAAACCTGATCCTAGGAGCTTGGTGTGGACGGTCTCGTGGAAAATTATAACCGTGGGGCCCAGGGTAGACAAAGGAACGTCCAGACCACAGCGGGTGGTGGTCGCCTTCAGCTCCCTGGTGAAATGCTTTAAGTAGGCGTCAGATGCGTCACCGAGGAACTTGAAGAGATCATCGTGGAGACGGTCGGCGTGCGTCCGGTAGATAATCACGTCAGAGATAGCCAGGACTTTAAGGAGAAGCCGTGTTCGCTGGCCCTGATTGGCTCCTGACGAGTCAAACAAATGAAAATGAGGAGAGTAAAGGAATGTCAACTGTGCCGTTTTTGTTATAATATTGAGCTAATCGATTATTTGTCCATACCAGCCCCAAGCAACCCCTCAGTGTCGATGACAATGACCCGATGCAGAGGGTCCAAAGCCGACCAAACACCCACAGTGCAGGACTCCTGGGTGGGGGAGGTCTTGAACACTTCTCTTCCCAGAAAGAAGGTGTGGTTCAGAGTGTGGGATTTGCCTTCCCCGGTGTTGCCAAAGATGGAGACCACCTTGAGGAGCTCATCAGGACTGCAGCCCAGCCTGAGGACGAAATCCTCTTCATCCTTCACCTGAAAATCAAAGACATCTTCTCAGAACAACAAATCTTTAAACAGAAGCTGTAAGGTTTGATTTGTTTTTAGAGAACTACCTTCATCTCCTCCCTCTCGTCAACTAAAAGAAAGCTGAACACCTTCTCCAGCTTGGATTTGAGGATCTCCATCTCCATCTCCTCAGCACTGCTCTCCTGAGCAGCTTTGGTGGGGGGGTACACCGTCAGAGGGTGCTTCCTCTTGTTGACCCCACTGTGGGTGCGTTTCTGGCAGTCTAAACACAGGTTGATCTTGCAGCCCTGGCAGCGCACCACCGCTCGGAGTCTGACGACGCAGCTGTTGTCACCTTTACACGAGTCGCAGAAGGGGACGTGGCCCGTCGTGATCCGAACCCGTTCGTGGTTCTTCATGCGCTCCTGGCGATGGAGCTCCAGTTCGCAGCGGGCACACTGCAAGCTGCCGCATTCGTCGCATTCGAACGCAGCCTCGTCTGAACCTCCGCAGGCGTAGCTCTCCTGACAAACCAGGACTGTGTTCATCCCTTTATCCACAGCTGGACTCTGACCACTCATGTTGAACCTGAAAGGTCAAACAGGTCACTTTGACACCAACAAACTGTGACATGCGGACGCAAAGCAGAGGCGAATGTAAAGAGTTCTAAACAAAAATCACTTCCCACTGCAGTTTAACAAGTCCTCCAACACACCTGCCTGAACTATTCTTTGTTACTTTTAGTGCATTTACATTAAAAATGCGTTTATCGTCTTAGTTTTTAAACTTTTTTACAACATTTTTACAATGCTAGGCTTCTAGTTGTAGCCTTCTGTGCTGGTCATAACGCCCGTAAACACACCACGAATAATAAACAACCAGCAGCTAACAGGCTATCACACAAAGAGACCAATTCAACAAAAACAAACACTGATTTCGGTCCACTGACCTGGTACTAGCGCTGCTGCCACCAATCCGAGACAAATCCTTCCCGAGAAGACGTCTTCTCTCTAGAACTGGACAAGTTTACTGTCTAAGACCATACTGCCGAGTGCCACATACTCAAGCTAACAGCAGGGAGAAAGTTAGCCAACACCGGCTGTATCAGCAGCTCCTGGTAGTTGTTGTTGCAGCTGATCGGCTTGTTTTTGTCCACGGGTGAAAAGTCATTGCTTCGCAAAGCATTCTGGGAAATGTAGTAGTACCATAATGAGTGTAATTACGAAATAGAGGTGAAATTTTAAATTTGCTGTAAAGAAAAAGCCATAATAAGTCATAATTATTAAACAAATATTAGATTTTTATATTTAAAAATGTCCAGAATTTGTTCATTAGACCATTACGCAACATTCAATATACGTTCGAATTATCAAGTGTTAATTTGTAAAATTATTATTAATAATAATAATAATAACAGTTATTATTATTTTTCTTTTCTGACAAAAAATTTAAAAGTAAACAAATTAAATACAGTAATACAGTAGAGTGGCGATCCACTAGCAACAAACAATTTCCCATAATGCTTTGCTGCAGTAAGAGTTTGTTTGGTGTGTTCACCAGCGTGTGCCGATCCATTTAATTAGACGGAAACAAGCATTGAGTTTTAAACAAATCTTGTCAAAAATATAAAATAAACCCGTAGCAAATCAACCTGAATATTTTATTATAATGTAAAAAGTATCTTAGAGTATCTTTTTGTGATTAACTTTATAAAAATCTCGTATTTGTCAGTCACATTTGTTGAAGCTCTAGTTCAGCTCTGGATGCACTGGTGACAAAAACTAACAAACCTAAGTGGCTATTTCTTTGATACTTTGTTACATTCAGGAGTTGTTGTATTTATGTTGTTTTTTTTTAAATTATTTATAACAGCAGTAAGACAGCTGGTATATATTATTTTTTCCTCTTCGCTGGTCTTCTATTACCCTCCGTCTTCAGATGTTGCCGCTGACCTCTATTTACAGCAGTTAGCCTACGTTAGCTCACTGCTGCTAACTCCGTAACTCTCGTTGTCTTCGTCACTTTATCAGCATCTGGGTCTTGCTCAATGGAAGACGAAGCCTTCGCTAGTATAAGTAGCAAACCGATTACTCTGGATTGTCAGAGCCACTCCAGCTTTTGCAGGGAGTTCACTGTTAGCTCCCCTAAAGTGTCCATTGGGAAGGTGATGGTGTACACCTGTTCTGTGTGGCTTATAGCTTATGCAGTGTTCTTCTTCACAGAGGTAATTTACACAATTGCTACAATTTAGTTATTTCTCAAAACTAGCCAGACCTATGTTATTTGAGAGTGCACTATAATGGATGTTTGTTACATCAGTGAAAACACTTTTTTGATAGTGTTAATGTGACTCTAATGTGTTTGATTGTGATAGTAATTATAGATGACTGCTGACTGGTGGAGTTTTTGTTGTTAGCCAAATAAAATGATACTGCAACATAGTTTAAATGCCATACTTGTATGCAATAAAAATTGGTGCACTATACATGTAAATGATCAGAATTTCCTTTTAATATGTTGTAAACAGTCGTTTAAACACTTCCCAAAACCTGCATATAAATGTCTTCCTTTCTTTGCAGAACACGGCAGTTCTCTCCAGTGCTATCCTCATCACGCTCGCAGGCATGATGCTCCACATCCACTTTGTGAAGGTGGACCACGAGTCCCTGCTTGTCATAGGCTCTTTAGGCATCCAGGTGTCCTCCACATACGCCTCAGGTCGTGAGGTCACTACTTTCATTGAGATGAGCAAGATCAAAGATATTGTCATAAATGAAGCTATTTACATGGTACATACGCACCTATACATTTCTTACACGAGCGTGCAAATTTGAATTGAAACTAAATGCATTTACTTCAGCATCAGATCATCTACTATCTGTGTGTGCTGATGAAGGACCAGTCAGAGCCTAATGGAGTGTCTGGTGTGGTGCCATTATTTCAGGTGATTATGAACTCCATTTTCAGCCACATCACTAAAAAGGCTTTGTTTGTTTTTTTTAAGTTTTACTATTCCATTTTTCTTCTTAAAGCCTGTTAATGTATACTGTAATTTATTTGAAATTGTTTTCGTGAACATCCTTATTTTGGCGTTATTATTTTCAGAGCTCAAAGCCGAGACTCAACTGCTTGGTGAAGGTGTACAAAAGCTGCCAGGAGATTCTTTCAAAGTGCCAATGACTCTCAAGTTGTACAACGCCACCTCCTGAACAATGTGCTGTAAATATTTTAGGCCATTTTTAAAATGCTTAAAGGCAAAACAGTTTTGTCCCATTACTGTATACTGTATTCGATTTCATATTTTGGTCATGTTTTTATTATCCTTTTCACACTTTTATTAATGCCTACACTAACTAAAGATAATTTAATATTTTGCCATATATATATTACACTTTTAATGTTTTACTTTATCCTATACTGTAGTTATCTAAGTTAGTTTTAGAAATTCGCCCTAATTTTTACTTAAGTAAACTGTCTCTGGGTTTAGAATAAAATTACATCTATTTTCTTATTTCTGTTAGAATAGATTGGTTAAGCTAATTTATTTGTTCTGTAAACAGTTTGTATATTTCTATTATGAAAAAATAATTGTTTCACCACCTTTTTTCATCAGTAGGGGGCAGCACTACACTTTAAAATGAAACTAGTAAATACAGATTTGTAAAAAATCTTTGCGTGTGTGTGTGTCCCTTCCCCCTTCTCTCTCAAAAACATAGTAAAATCTCTCCTGAACCACAGCAAAATGTCATTAGCCTACACCAAAACATAACCAAGTCAATTTTATAGTTAAGCGCAAATTTGCTGAGGTCATTTCCAACACATGCTCCAAGTGCTAACACATCTCGCAATATTTCACAAACGTACACGAGATTGTGCATAACATCATAACGATTGACTAAAACTTTTTTCAGTCCCTTCTCAGCATAAGATGATTGTAGTTTAACTTTCTTGCATAAAATGTGGCACAAGGTATCAGTTCTAAGAAATACAAGGCCTTTAATGCAATATATTTTTTACTCACTTTGAAAACGATTGTTTAATTTCCATAGAAGCAGTTGGTAAAGTTCCCTCAGAAGTCTGCCATGTTACTGTGATTAAACCGACATGTTTGTGTGGAGTTGTTTGATGTCTCAGACCAAATTAAAGAGCTCCATCTGGGATCTTTTGTAGGTTTTTTATTTATTTAATTATGCTTATTTATAGCTTTATCTGTCAGTCATAGTCATCAAGTTATATCAGATTGAGTTGGGAATTGTAAAGGGATAATTATAAGGAAACTATTGTCATTCGCATCACGTGAGGTGGAGCGAAATTGTGTATTCGAGGTCAACGAGTTTGCAGTGAGCAACACAAATATGTTTAAAGCAAATGTATCAGTAACTCAAAAGACTAATTTTAATCTGAAATGAAATTACAATTAAATATAGACATTGTTTTATTAATTAATGCATACAATAAAGAAAGATGGGGGTATAAGAAGTTCAGTTATCCAGGAACAGCTCAGGAGTTTAGCCGCTGCTCCTCCACATCGAGAGGAGCCAGGTGAAGTGGTTCTGTCAAATGGTAAAGTTGCCCCCAGGATGAGATGTCCAGCTGGAAGGAGACCACAGAAGACCTAGGACACATTGGAGAGACCTGGGAACACTGGAGTGGAGCTGCGATTTCTAACTCGGGCCAAAATGATGTGCTTGATGGGTGTGCCGGGTCGGTCTGAGACTTTTGATGTGGTTTTACGAATATACAGCGCAAAGAAAACTAAATACGAATGCACAATATACAACTGTGTATACTTGTTGAGGAGGAGGCAGTAAGTTTAATTGATGAGAATGAGACATAAATAAAATAAGGTGCAGAATTTACAAAGTAATCGGACTGTGAAAAGAGAGTAACGCTGGCGCATTGCGCAATAATTGTGCATGTGGCCCTACCCGCCCTGCTTTTATCACACATCTGAGGATGTGCAATTGACCCACAACAAGTGACATAATGGAGCTGGAAAGTATTAAACAAAATATAAAAATAGGGGAACTAACTACAAAGCCAGCACAGTGAAACCTGCTGATGTGTGTCAGGTCAGGTACACGCTCAGGCCGGTTGAAAGAGGTAAAAAAAAGTCTTAAGCTTCTGATGGACAACCGGATCATCGGCCGCGTGCGTCCGCTGACTGGCCGATTGAAACGGGTAAAAAAAAAAAAAAGGTCCTGTTAAGCTTCAGATGGATCATTGATCGTCACATCAGCTGACTGGCCAGATGGATCACCAGATCGGCCGCGCGCGTCCCACTCCACACCCTGCCGTCATCTGCGGTGAAGGAAGTTGCAGCATCTGAAGCTCCAAAAGCCGACGCGATCAGCACATTTAATTAAAATAGTCTTGTTCCATTTTCCAAATAATTTTGCTCTAAATATATTTTTATTCATCTGTATAACAGCCTATTTTTAGAGTTGATTTTTTTTTAGGCTAGTCGTTTTGTATGTTAATATACATTTTTGTGATTTGTTAATAAACAAGAAATCTTATATCTTCCTTTCTTTGAAATACATTTTTTAAATTATCATTTGCTTACAAAAACAGTAAAAGCTTAATTTAAATTTTAAAAAGTCGGGGTGTGGGGGTTCAGGTTCAGGCCTGCAATTACAGTTAATTGGTCGGGTCGGTCTCGGACAAAATGGCTACAGGCTCAGGTCGGGTTGGATTTTTTAGGCCCAAATGCAACTTTACACTGGAGTCCTCCCAGAAGAGGCGGCTGTGGAAAGAGATGTCCTCCCTGCTCAAACTGCATGGGAACAAGTGGAAGATGATGGATTTTTAAAGAAAACGGTTCCTTCTCAGTGCTAAACAGTGCCTGTGAGTGTCAACCAACCAGAAATGATTAATAAAATTGCAACCAGAAAAAAAGCCAACATTTTGTTGGGTGCTGGTTGACAAAATTGTATAAATAAAGCTTGAAATGCCAGGAAGTCCATCATGTGTGCAGTGGGAACTGTGATTGATGGCCACTCTCCTAGTTGAGACAAGAAATTCCACGTCCTTACCACAATGGCCTCTCCAGCTTCAAATCGAGCTCAAAATTCATTTTTTGCATTTTGCTTCTTGTTAACTGCAGATTCTCATCAGCAAATGTATAGCTCAGTTATATTCCAAAGAAAAATTAATGATGATGCCAGATGTCACCCAAACAGTGCTGGAACTATTTTTAAGTCTAACAAAACATATTGTTTTTTTGTAAGTAAAATTTTCTACTTGTGGACTCTGAAGTTGATCTATTTTTCTAGAAACCTGCAGCCAGCAACTTCTTGTCAGCATTCATTTTTAAATGAGCCTCTTTGTTTTTTTTACGTGTGTACATTTTTTCTCTTTTACACAGTTTTCTGGGTGTTTTTGGGTGTAACTTCAGAACCATCTGCAACAACACTCATACCTGTGTGTGAACTTTGCTCCATGGGGGTCAACAAAATAAGAAGGGTGTGAAATTCACGAAGCGAGGGATTGTCCTGCTGTGTAGAGTAGCTCTCTGAAAGGACAATACGTCTGTAGGTGTGAAACAGCCAGGGAACACCCTGCAGTGACACCTCAGCTGTTCCCATAAAGCAGCAACTTCCCCCCATGATCCCTTTCCCATCTACATTTAACCTACCTCACATATGTATTTATTACTCTGTGACTTAAGTGGCTGCTTATATTTATTTTAAAATATCATCCACACAAATACAATGTCAGGTAAACTTTTGGAAAAGCTATGCATAGGTTTTAAATGTTGAAAATCTTTCAGTCTTTACGTGTAAATGAGGAAATAAGACATGAGTGATCAAACACATTTAAGTACGTGAAGCAGTTCATCCACTGGTGTTGAAGGAAAAATACCTATTGGTCTTACGCAATACAACAGGGGGGCTGTGGTAGCTTGCTGGTCAGTGCCATGGTCTTATAATCCGGTAATTTTGCAGCCCAGGTTGCGTCAGGAAGGGCATCTGGCGTAAAAAAATTCAACCAGCCACTAGGGAGCACAAGCTGGTGTATGTATTTCAAGTTCAAGTTTCTTTATTGTCATTCACATCACATGTGGTATGAGGTGGAACAAAATTGTGTACTCAAGGTCCCAGTTACACTAAAAAAATAGCAAAATAAGGATCTAAGATATACAGTACACTAAGATATATGCTAAACGAATGCTAAACGATACACTAAAAGATCTAAGGTGTATACACTAAACACTAATTCTGTACTGTAAAATAATACGGTATATTAAACAGCAGACCGAACATGAGTCTGTTCTGTAGTTAGTTTCTTCTCCCTTTGTCAGGAAACAGAGGGAGAAGAGAAAGTTAAGAATGTTGGACTGAGGGTGGCAACTCACAATGTGGGGACAATGACAGAGAGCTGGCTTACATGATGCAGAGAAGGAAGGTAACTGTTTTATGTGTCTAAGAGATCAAGCAGAAGGGCAGCAAGGCTCACAGCATTGGGGCAGGGTTGTAGATCGAAAGAGTAGTGGAGTAGGGGTGATCTTCAAAGAGGAGATAACAAAAATGTAGTAGAGGTGAAACAAGTGTCAGATAGGGTGATGTGCCTGAAGGTAGAAGTAGAAGGTCTGATGTGAAATGTTGTCAGTATATACTCCACAGTTTGGATGTGATGTGGAGGAAAAATGTAAATTTTGAAAGGATCTGAATGAAGTGATAAGATATGGAGAGTATTCCCAGGGTAGAGAGAGTGGTGATCAGAGCCAACCTGAATGGACATGTTGGTGAAGAAAACAGGGGGGATGAGGAAGTGATGGGTAGGTTTGGTGTGAAGGAAAGAAACCAGGAGGGACAGATGGTGATTGATTTTGCCAAGAGAATAGAAATGGCTGTAGTCTACCCTTATTTCCAAAAGAGGGAGGAACATTGAATGACCTAGTGAAGGCAAGATGTAGCAGGTAGGCTACATTCTGTGTAGAAGAGACAGGTAGGACGGTACTTGGGGGGCTGTTTACATGGCGCATATTTTGAGTGAAACCGCACCTTTCTCTCTGCGGTTTGGCTGTTCATTTACACAACATCAGTGGCCCCCCTCTTTGAATCCAGAGGTTTTTCAACCCACCACTTAGAGTGGAGGTTTTCGGGAGACCACCCGCTGATAATGTCAACATTTCCCGCAGAGGTGTTAAACCACATGCACACTACAGGCGTATAGCTCACGCACACGTGGACCAACAGCATATTTCTATCAACAACAATGGCGGCGTTGTATAACATACTGCTTTCTGTGCTATGACTGATGGAATATATCTTGAGTCTCATAGTTTATCTACACCTGAATGTAGCTGCTGTGACTGACATCTGTGTTGGGAAGGGACACTAGTTGGA